ACATGTGAGTATGAAAACCAGCTGTCCTGTACAAAGGAACAACAATGAAAATGATCTCCACTTTGAACTTCAGAAGGTACAACATTGCTGCTTTTGGAGATAAAACATCATATGTGACTTGCCTTCTAATCTACAGAAAGAGTAAGTACATGATGTGTTGGTATCAAATGTCATTCTCCTACTTGTCTTCAATGATTTCCTGATGTACTTAAAATAAAATCCCAATCCTTAACTCAAACACCTGACCTGCCCCTCTCCCCACTTCACTCCATGCTTCTTGCCTCTGGCTTTCTTTTTCAGCTCTCAAACACCCCAAGCGTTTCCTGCCTCGGGGCCTTTGTACATGCTGTTCCCCGCACTTAAACCACTCCCTCCCCTACTTTGTGCAGAGTTTTGTGGGTCAGCTGCCCTCCCCTACCTAAATAGGCCCCAGCTAGACTCTGTTTTCATCTCCTTTAATTCCTTTAAAGCCCACATGACTTGTAATTACCGTATTTGTTCCCTGATTTTTAACCTGTCTCCTGTACTAGGATGTAAGTGCCATGAAGAAGGAACTGTGTGCGTTGCTCTCTGTTACAACCTGGCAATGAGAGGGGTTCAACGAATATTTTCTGAGAATCTATAGAGTACTTCAGGACACCCTCTGGCACCCACACACATGTCCTGCTTCATTCTGGTGGGGCAGATAAAGGTACATTTCTTAGTGCCTTATTTCCAGTCTTTTGATAGCCTCCAGAGGACAAAATACACAACAAACAGAATAAGGAGGAGATAAAAGAAGAAAATAAATCTCAAAATATTCACTCTGAAATCTTTTAAGGTTTAGGACTATGTTTTAGCAATCTTTTCATTTCTTTTATTCTATATGCAGTGATACTTTAAAATTAACTAAATGAAATCAATAGGTTTTCTTAAAATAACGCTTTTAATATGTTCCATACAAAGAGAACATGCATGGGTGTCTGAGGAGATGTAATGTTAAAAAGGTAAAATAAACTGGACTGCTTCTAGGTGAAAGTGTTATAATTACAAAATTCAATTAGGTACCCAAAATTTTGGCAAAAATGGTCATATAGCTACAAAAATTGTTTGCATCCATCCTTTGTCCTAGTAATAATTCTAGAATATATCCTAAAGACACATTGGTAAAAATAGGAAATGACTGATATACCCGGTTATTCACTGAGGCAGTTATTTGGCAGCGAAACTGCAAGCAACCCAAGGCCATCGATAGGGAGCTAGCTGAATCAAGTATGGCACCTCCTCACAAGGCAAAAAGGAATGAGGACGGCACTGCGCACTGACACGGAGTGAACCCAGGTTACACTGTTAAAAAAAAAAAACAAAAACAAAAACCTAAGGTACACAATAGTATATGTTCTATGCTACCTCTTCTGCAAAAAAGGAAGGTAATATATAAAATAAACACTGGCCTGGCACAGTGGCTCATGCCTGTAATCCCAGCATGCCAGGAGGCCGAGGTGGGAGGATCACTTGAGGCCAGGAGTTTGAGACCAGCCTGGGCAACATAGGGAGACCCTGTCTCTACAAAAAAAATTAGGTTAAATTAAAAAGTTAGCCAGGCATGGTGGCACACATCCGTAGTCGCAGCTACTCAGGAGGCTGAGGCAGGAAGATGGCTTGCGCCTAGGAGTTCAAGGCTACAGTGAGCCAAGATTGTGCCACTGTACTCCAGCCTCAGCAACAGAGTAAGACCCTATCTTAAATAAAAAAATAAATAAGCATGGTGAAAGATAATCCAGAATTTAATTTAATGATTACTTATGGGAGAGACTACAGTTAAGACTTCTCTGAATATATTGTTATATAGTTCTGACTCTGGAAACATGCTTCTATAGTCAAAAAATAAAATTAAATGAATATTAAAATAAAATAAAGAGAATAAACCTATCATGTTGGTGACATAGCCACAAATGCCTTTTGAGCACAGTATACTGATTGTACATGCCTAGAACATATTCTTTTGACAAATAAGCTGCAAAGAAATCACACTTCTTTCAACAATTTAACTGTTACTGGTGTCTTTTAAAGTAGGTTAATACAAATAAGTAGTTTATGTTAAAGTTGTTAGCCAAGATTCAATGTAAGAAAAATTAGATTTAAGTATAAAATCAAAGTTAAGAAAAAATTATGGAATATAAAATTTGACTTAGAGATATCAGTTTGAATTCACTTTTTTGTTTTTCTTTTTAGCCATCACCAAAAAGACCTGGAAGCAATAAGAAGCGACAGCAATGAGCACACCTAGAGCCCCTTCCCTTAAATCCTCTCCCCACCATGAGGCAAGGGGTCCTTGGAGGAATGGCTGGGTTCAAAGCCAGAGTAGCACTTACAAAATGATCTTGGGACATCTTGTTATGCCAGAAAGCAGGAGGGCTGTGCCAAAGGAACACAGAGCCAATTATGCAACTGAGCATCAAAAGGAATAAGAAAGGCAATCGAGTGAGACACATTAAATATACAAACCCCAGGAGCTCATAATGACTGTAGGGAATGGGGAAGAAAGAGACAGGCAGGCAGAGAGATGGAAAGGCCTTGGCTAGACTCTGTTTTAGAGAGATGGAGAGACCCAAGGCACTGAAACAAAATTGGAATTAACTAGGGGCCCAACTTCTTACCCTGAAAATTGGTAATTAAAAGGAGAGAAGCATCTATCCTATTTCCTGTATGAACTCTCTTTCAAGACAAAGAAGCAGCCAGCTAATATGTGCATACTCCTCATCAAACACCTGATTCAGACCATGATAAGCAATGGGTGAAAAAAGGGGCTGGAAGGCTGATCCGGGACTTGGCATTGCCAGAATCAGGTTGTCACCATCTGAAGCCAGGAATCGATCGATCTTAGCATGACTCAAAGAGGAACAACCAGACACGTCTGCCTCCTGCTGTGGTGCAATGGGAAGCACCCAGCACCCCCTGAAGACATTCTTGCCAAAAGACTGAAACAAAACCTAATCAAGCCTCTGGAGCTAATTTTTAATGGAAAGAACTGCAGGGACAGAGGAACTACTAGGAAACAAGTAGCAAAATATCAAAAGGTGAGCCACTCTACAGGACAACTGCCCCCCCCCC